ATTCTAATCCTTTGTTTTATTTCGTTATATTTGTGCTGAAAAGTTGAGTAATTTTTGCAAAATATTCTGAAGGCACAGAAAAGGATTATACCTAGGTATAGTAAATTTCATAAAGTTCAAAATAAATTGCTGATTTGCCCATTAACTCTTCCTACTGCATTAAATATTACTTTTAAATTCAGATCTAGTATGTATATTATAGGTAATATGAAATGAAAATAATTAGTTAGGTACTATATACTATCCTTTTGTAGGTTTATTGACAATTATTCGCGTCATAAACATCACGAATATTTAATATTACGTTATTACTTCTACTTTTTCAGTGTTTTTATGAAAAAGATAGAGCTATAAAATCCTACATTGTTAAAACTTTTATTTTTTTTAACTAACCACAAGGAGCATCTACAGCATATGTTTAATTCAAATTTTTTATGGCAGAGAAGAAGGATAATCCTTTTGCAACCAAATCTGTACTTTCAAATACATAAACATTGCGCATACATGACAGAATTACATAAGTAAATGTAATCGCATACTTACAACAGTAAACAGATAATGCTCGAAAAAATGCGAAGAGAGTACTCACCTACTCTCTTTTATAAAATACCTATAACGTACAATTTTTTTTTTTTAATTAAGCATGATTTAGATACCTAATCGTAAATTGTCAGTTGATAGGTATAAGTACTACCAAAAAAGAATCATTAACACAGCACATAACTGTACGTTATTTTAATAATGTTGTTAATATTCAATAACTATTAATTTTAGAAAAACAGAAATTTCTTTTAAAATGCCGCATGCGACTTTGAGGTTAAATTAAATTATTGAATTATTGTTCATTTGTAAACACTTACCAGAAAACGTCCCAATTTATTGCCCACACCCAGTCTATTACACGTTATCTTTATGTTTACTTTTCAAATTAACCACTTAAAACACCCGATTACACTGGATAAACTAATTACGGAAGAAATAAAAGGACACAATTTACGCGGACAGCCGATAGGACCTAACAGGGCAATAGGCAATTGTTTTGTGTCATCATTGGATTATATCTATAGATACAAGTTTCATTATGTCTAAATATCTAATGCAATGCAATCTCAGTGGCGTTTTTTCCATTGAATGTTAAAATAGTGCAAAAACATATCTAATTAAAATATAATATTANGTACGTATTTAAAAAAAAATGTATTTAAGAGGGTTTTTGTTGTTTATTATACTTACACGTAAGTGTACGTAAATTATACCTATGCAATTTCAAAATATATATATATAGCTTATATCCAATAAAATGTAAACATTAATTAAAAGTATTGCAGTATTGGAGATTACCATATTTTATTTTATTTCTTTTGCGCTAATTTAGCCAGTTCCAGTAGTGCGAATGACCCACATCACATAATTTGAATCTATAACTACAATAATTTGAAGGGGAGGAATCAGTTGTGAGATAGTGCCGCGATAGTTGACATCATTCGAAAACGGATTAGTAATTTCACATGTACTTTAAAAAATTAGAAGTGAATAAACATACAGGTGTTGATTAGTGCAACTTTAAGGAATGTATACAGTGATAATTGTGCCTCCTATGGATTGAGATTACGTATTTATATGCTGAAGATGAAGTAAGGATAAAATATTGTCAAGGTAATTTTTTAACGGTTTTTTTAAATGTCATCTACAGTGTAGCTTTTTACTTTGCAATTATACCTATCCCAATTTCGAATTATTTAAATTTATTTTCTTTACCAAATTTCTATTCCGAACAAGTAGCGCGTTTGTTGTTTGGGGTATTCCCCAAATAAAGGAATCAGTTACCATGTAATATGTTGTTGATTATTTTTTTATTTATCGGCATTTTTATAACTGTACCAAATGTTTATACGTACTCTAATTCTAATTCTTATTTATATCACAGTTGGATGTAACGTTGACATAAAAAATTATAAATTACACTACTTAGATTGCTCAAACTGATGGTAATTCGATTTAGAGTCCATTATGTATTGGTATTAGTAGTCTCATTATAAAATGAAAAGGATACTTTTAACTAATAAAACAAATTGCTTATGTAAATTAGAAGTAAAACATAGTCAGTTATTTATTGCAGTCGCTCCTTAAATTTGAAATATTTAATATTTGACTACAATAAATCAAATTAATGCCGTATTGTGTATTCTAGCCAGAATGTGTCTTAAAACATATTATAATGTCTGCCTATCTATTTGTTTTCAACTGAGGGTGCGACTACCTCGTCCGATGTTAAGAGGTTTCTATAGTTTACACCCTTTAAGACGTGCCGCTCTGTAGGGGGGTGTAGTCGTAAAGTTTAACTGCCTAAACAAATTTACCCTTTTATCTCTGTTAAGTAGAGACTGTCATTTGATGTTTATCTTCTCCATGAAAGACTGCTATAAATCTTTGTAAAACTGGTACACTAAGGCGGATTGCTTTATATATATTCTAGATTATAATCGAATAGAAATAATGGCTTAAATAAATGTAAAAACAGAAGATTTTAACACACTTACGAATCCCATAAATTTTGAGTATGTTACCTAATATTTTTTAACACCTTTTCATGTAAACGACCTACCTCGTACTTGTAATGCATCGTATCATTTCACTGTACAATGTAGCTAAGCTATACACAGTGGCGTAACTAGGTTCAAAAGACATGTTCAGAGAGAGAAGGCGACTCCAGGAAATAAAAGATTTCTAGGAGAGAGAAATAAATTTATTCTAAACTTAAGTATAAATTTCGAGGCTTTTACATGTGCAAATGCTGTCACCAAATTCCGAATATCGATCTTATTGGCATGGTCATTTTCAACTGAAATTATAGCTAGAGGGCTCATTCTTTCTTGTCTCACAGTATTCCGCAAGCTTCTTTTAATTATTTTCAATTTTGAGAAATACTACTCGGGGAGTAATGAAGTCTAAAATTTTCAAATGGAAAAGTTGGCCTGAAATTGTATCTGAAACATCAACCTCGTATTTGCAGCAAAATTCGTGGCCTGCAGAGAGAATTTTATTGATAGATGAATTTCTTAAAAAGACAGGAAAAAACATGCACAGTCTTTCTAAAACCAGTACTGCGTTTGTATAACTACATAGACATCATACATAGGTATCAAAAGTTGTGTGATGGTATTGACTCAATTCGTCAAATTTTTTTTGAGGCGATCGACACTTTCTGTCCCTAGAAAAAGATGTTGAACATTTGACAGTAGCACTGCTTTTCAAACTTTTGAAGTTATCAAGCCATATGAGAAGCCCCCTGACTTGGGGACCAGCACATCATGGAACACATGAAACACCAATAGTTACGCCACTGGCTATACAGTCAAAAGCTTTTATGTGTTTCTGTTTGATTTTGTTGTATTATATTCAAAGTCAATATGTTTTGAAATAACCAGTGGTAAATGTGTCATAAAGAACTTCAATATTTCCCTTATTGTGAGAATATTTTCTTGTAATTATCAAATTTAGTGTAATCAAATTTCCAAGCTTGAGCGGTATTACTCTACATATTAATATCTATATATTTTATCGGTAATACAATTTTCGCTAATAACTTTTCTGTCTGGGTATTACCCCTATTAATTCAGTTAGATGCATTAATTTTTGTTAAACTACACTCAGAGACATAACTCCCCAATCACCCAGTATATTTAAAGCCGCAAGCATTCAAATTTATATAATCATCGACGTTTTGTTTAATTCAAAATGTGCGGCGTTTTTTTTTTAATGATGCTAATGGAGAACTTTTTTTCCCCAATAAACTTTCACTTCCTGATCGAGTTGTAGTTAAAAAGGTACACACACAACACACCAAGGGAAAAAATAAACGAGACATTCTTTAATTTTCCTACCCAGATGCGTAATATTAAGGTAACCATATTTTTTTATTTCCAAATCCGGGACGGGAAGTTGTAGCGGGGTGGGGGGAGTAGTTAAATTAAATAACAAATGATTTTTTTAATAAAAATTATACATAACAAATACTATTTAAGGATATANTCAAATTTTGTAAAAATAAATCTAGTTGAAATGTATTTAAAATAAATATTGAAAATAAGAACCTTTTCAAAAATTCGGGACAATCCGGGACAAATATTGCTTCTAGAAAAATCCGGGACGCAAGGTGGAAATCCGGGACTGTCCTGGCCAATCCGGGACGTATGGTCACCTTAGTAATATACTAATATTTTTTGAAGAAATTCGAGGCGTCTTGGATTGTGTGAAAATTAAAATCTACATCATAATGACCACCATCGGCTCATGAATTACCATTTTTTCTATTTTTTTTAATTAAAAATATGTGCTAGTGACCTCTGTCTTTCACAAAACAAACTTCCAAAGAAAACTCTGAAGCAGTCTGTAGCTTTCTTTATCTTCAAATTCATTATTGTAATTGACTATCAACAACACCAAAATACACCGTGAATCGGAAATATGATTGAAATGTTGGAAATGAAATATGTAAATACTCTATCACTCGCTTTGTGACGCAAAATAATATCAATTAGTTATTAAATATTATGCATAAAGTTGCGGACATTAATAAACCTTTTAAACATTAAACTCTAAACCTATGATAATTGTTCAAAATTGAATAGGAGTAAATTTTCTCAAATTTTGTTAATATAGGTTTCGCTTCTCAAAGAATATTTGTAACAGTTTATAAAGTCTGCCTGCATAATATTATTTCTTAATGATTAAGTCATCTTTACCAACGACTAAGTTAATGTTATACTATCTCTATAAAAAACTAATTAGAAATCCAGACGTGTAAATACGAAATATTTTGTCGTTACAAGTTTACATATAGCAACTATATGTTAATAACATGATATTCCAAATTAAAGACCGATTTAACAGCGAGTTCTGAAAGAACGATTAGGTATTACTATTAGTTAAATAATGGTGAAGAGTTTGTTTATAATCTGGAAGTAGGTAGTTATATTATTTACCAATTAAACCTCCAAAATAGCAATTTTTATTTGTAAAACTTATACAAAAATAGTTCCTATAAAACAATAAGTGAGTTAATTAACGTAAATATTGTCAACATAATTATTAAAAATATCCTCGATGCTACTAGCCATTCTTAAAATAATGATATGGCATATCACTAAATCCGCCGGCAGATTTATTAATATATTTCCCATTCGAACGTAATATATCGTGATTCGACGTCGCTGACGGTAAATGATGGAAATTAGGAACAAGATGGTAGGTGATAACGAACTAGTAATTATTATTGACCATAATGTTATTATAATAAGAAAAAAAAACCTAAGATTATTATCACACATTTTATGAAAATGCAATTATCACTTTGCACATGTGGCTGGTGATCATCACATTATTGTAGTAGTTGTATGTAGCTACATAGTACATCAAATTTTATATAGATATGTATTCATTTTTAAAATTAAATCAAATATGCCACAAAAGCAGGTGATTCGTAGAGTCTTCCCTGCCTGCCACTTCGGACAAGTTTGAACTTCGAAAATCTTCATAACCATCCCCTCCTGATATCACTAAGACTTTCGCGCTATTTCTCTGCTCTTGTTTTCCTTTAAAAGAGTATCGATGGTGGTAAGTGCTTTCAGTATTTATACCATTATATTCAACGTGACTTATAAATCGGACGTGGCCTGTGTGTCCGTAAGGGACGCCGGCAATATTTGGAGTTATATTCATTTTAGTTGTTAAAGATGCAATATGGGGTAACGGCATCGTTAAAAGTACTCCTGCCGATGTTCCAATCCAGAGCAAATCTTTGCATGCCAACAGCGATGTTACGCGAAGACATGCGGCTTTATGTTGTCGAATAATGTCATCGCAACCTACAATAAAATTGAAATGTTTAAACAAAAGGCCGATCGATAAAGTTTAAAAAGAACAATTTACTAACTTGTCAGCATTTTTGTAACGGCCGGTGCTACGTTTACTTCACACAGAAATTCGAACGAATATGCATGAAAGCACTTTATAACTGCAGAATTTTGTAAGGATAACCATAGCCCGTTTCCTGATAATATAATACAGTTTATCGGTTTGTTTGATTCGTTGTTAACAGTGAAACTAGTTTCTACTGTTAAGGACGATGTGTTAAAAATTTTTACACTATTCCCGCAACTACACCACAATTTTCCCATGTTTGGAAGAATTTTTGTAACTGGCATTGCTGTAGATCCGACTGCCACTGAAATAGGATTCGATACGTTCCAGGTTCCGTCTAAAAAGTAACGCTTTTACATTTTTAAGAATCGATAAATAAAAAAATTCCAAAATATACTTAATTCCCGCTCGTAGATGTTAATATCACCGTTGGCCAACGAAACGTACACTCTGTTATCCAAATAACTGTAACAAGAATTAATGAAAAAACATTATGCGTATTCCGGCCTGCCACAGTCCAGTTACTTACATAATACAAAGAACTGAAGATCCTAATTGTAACCTAATTTTATTTTTCTTTATTCGAATGTTATCGCTGGAATTATAAACATGAATGCTACCATCTTCTGTACCTAACCACATCGTTGATTGCTGACTCTCCAAATCATCCGAGTCGATACTCGTGGTTTCGATTGCTTTGTAGTTTCCACCCGATACCGCACTAGTTTCTGCGTTCTCTTCAAAGTCACTGCGATCGTCTTCGTCACTTGAAGAACTACTGTCGAACTGAATGGTATTATGCTCCTCTTTGGATTCTTTCGTATGATTTATTTTACTTCCTAACGAGCTTCTGTAAAAGTTTAAAATTCTTTAGGTTTGACTTATTGGGATTGTTGAATTAGCATACCTGCTACTAATGCCAGGTACAGATGCAATACAAACAATTCGTGCGTTACAGACCCCATTGCACGAAGTAACAGTCGGTTCAGGTTGTAAGCTTAAAACACAAACTTGCCCAACATAACCATCGCTATTACAAACCCAAACGTCTCTTCTGTTATCGGTTAACGTAGGTGCAGCACATGTAAATTGAAGACCGGCCCTGGTCTTTCGAATTGGTACTGTAGCTACCAATTCTGGAACGGGTCTTCTATCACCAGATATTGCTGGAAAGAAAAAGTACTCAGAATGAGTGAACAAACGTTCAAAAAAAAAAAAAAAACAATGGTCAATTAAATTACCTAATTTATGTTTAGCTTCGTTAAATGTTTCTTCCCATGATGTTCGTTTTTCAGGTTTTGAGAAAACTACCGAAACGTTTTCTAAACCATTCCTTGAAGAAAACAATTATTTTGTTTATTAAAAAATGTTAATCACCTGGTTATTAAATGTAACTTACGAAGTATTTACCGCCAAATCCAGACATGAAAGTTGAGAATCGCTATTTTGTTGATCCGACAGTTGTTTATTTAATTTTTCGAGCATTTCTTTCACTACTTCGTCCAAAACTGTATGAGTACAATGGAGAGACCAAGCTAATTCGTTGATCTGATTGAGCACCGTAATATCATCAGTTAAATTTTCAATCTCTATCATCATTTGCCTAAGATTCTCATCTTTGGCTTTCACTATCTCTAAATCATCTAACGATATTCTCATTAACAACTTATACTTATTTGCTTCCAAAACACCAGTGACTGACCCCTGACCTGCAGAAGGCTTTCTTATGGTGCCACTTCTACGCTTAATACTGGTAACAAGAAGTAGGTCGGAAAATAAAAACAATGCCCTTTCTTTACGGGCACCGTTCCCTGCAGTCATTGTGACTAGATCATGTCTTAAATATTGACGATCTGTAGCTACCAATTCTATAAGACCTTCTATTAGTCCTTCTATTTCTCTGAGTTGCTCGAGTTCAAGAGCTTCCCTTTCTGTACAATTAATTTTTAGCAAGAGTTCGTGCACTTCTTTTTGAGCACTAAGAAGTAGAGGATAATCTGGGTGAGAAGGATCGGTGTGTTTTATTAATCTCTGTAAAAGGAGTTCATATTTTGGGAATTTTTGGATGGGTTTTATTAACAGAGAGTCTAAAGCCAATTTTCCCTTATGTTCTCGTGCTGTTGTCTGAAATATTGAATTTCGGTGATATCTAATATGACTTTAAAAGGTTAATTTTTATTTTTTATTTACCTCTAAAAACCTTGCAAACGCAGGTTTAGTTTGTTGAGCATTCTTTATTATATCTCGCGCCCTTTTCCAGTTATTAACGTAGTTTGTATAACTTTCGATAACGGACGTTCTAGAAAACTGAAGTAAATGATAAATTTGACATTTTAAATGTAACTCCAGTCCATCACTTACGATCTCCAAAAAAATGTCGCCCACTTTTTGCTTCAAGTCCCATTGTTCTAACCGTCCTTTTAATTCTTCCAAAAATTTTTGATGGTGACTCAATATTGTCGGTATCTAAAAATCATATTCGCCCTTCATATAAGTTACAGACTGCCCTTAAAAACGCTTTAAAAGTATATTGTTTTGAAACTATTTTACCTGATAGAATATTTCATCTACGAGGGATGCATCAAGTAAAATAGCATTTTCGGGATTTTTCAAAGGTTCCAAGTATTTCTGCAAAATGGATAATTAAAAATTAATTACTTGTACTAAATTAACTGTTAATTTGCTTGAATACGATAAAAGAGCAGAACAAATTTTAAAAGTGCGCGCAGAATGGTAACCACGCGCGCGCGCACACACACACTCATAAAATATGTATGTCTGTGTGTACATACATATTTCGTTGGTTGGGCCCACCTGTACTCGAATTTTTTAGAACAAATGCCAAAACTAAATTTAGGTTTTAAAACAGGCATATATGTATAATGATTGTTTTACTATCAAGGAAAAAATGATAATTAATGCGTTCATTTTTTGGCTTTTTTAAATTGAAAGTGTTTTTTACACCAAACAGCACATATATATCGACAATTATGCTGCAAACAATTTCCATTATTCTGTCGTAGTAGCCTAAGATTCTTTAATGAGGAAAACATAGCAATTGAAAAAAATACTACCAGCAAATACAAGTCGACACAATTATTACGATAATGTTTATTCATCATTATCACTCGTAATTAATTAAAATTTGACCATTATATATAACAGTACTCTCTTTTATAAAATACCTATAACGTACAATTTTTTTTTTTTAATTAAGCATGATTTAGATACCTAATCGTAAATTGTCAGTTGATAGGTATAAGTACTACCAAAAAAGAATCATTAACACAGCACATAACTGTACGTTATTTTAATAATGTTGTTAATATTCAATAACTATTAATTTTAGAAAAACAGAAATTTCTTTTAAAATGCCGCATGCGACTTTGAGGTTAAATTAAATTATTGAATTATTGTTCATTTGTAAACACTTACCAGAAAACGTCCCAATTTATTGCCCACACCCAGTCTATTACACGTTATCTTTATGTTTACTTTTCAAATTAACCACTTAAAACACCCGATTACACTGGATAAACTAATTACGGAAGAAATAAAAGGACACAATTTACGCGGACAGCCGATAGGACCTAACAGGGCAATAGGCAATTGTTTTGTGTCATCATTGGATTATATCTATAGATACAAGTTTCATTATGTCTAAATATCTAATGCAATGCAATCTCAGTGGCGTTTTTTCCATTGAATGTTAAAATAGTGCAAAAACATATCTAATTAAAATATAATATTANTGGTATAATTAATTAATATAATATAAATTTTTATGTTCTTACTGTAACAAGGATCTGCAAGGATTCTACGTAGGATCGTTCCGTGTCGTAAAGTTCGACCACCACATGAGTTCGTGTGTCCTGAAACGAAATATAAAAGTAGGGAAAAAAAACAGTTACGCAGCATCATAACAGCGTAGCGCTACAATGATAGTAGGTACCGTGAATAGAGGATTTTGAAGGAAATTTTTTATATTATTATGGACCTCATCTTCGTTTTCCTCACCGCACTCGTAATTTATTGCACTCATTTCAAAAAACACTACATATCGAAAAGCCACACCTTCCTTTCATAGTGCATTGTATACAATAAAGAATCGCAGAAAGACGCTCTGCGTCTCGACGTCCTCGATCGACAATCTGTTTCTAGGCAACGGCGCTGTAGTAGGAAGTCGAAAGCTGCGCGAATTCTGTTTTTAACGACGCTACTTAACTTTCTTTTTATTGCAGTATCTTATCAAGCCTTTTCTTTTTCACTCTTTCTCGAATTAATCATTATTTACACCTGTTTGTGCAAATGCAATTTTTTCACTAACATTGTACGTGAACTCCTCCATAAATTATACGAGACGGACTCCGGTATTTCGGTTTATTTTTAGAACAGAGACATTTACTGGTTGATAGGCCATAATAATTAATTTATATCTTGTGACGAGTATATCGTTCAGTTTATATTTGTATTTGTAAAAAATGCAGTCAAAATAATCGAAAATGTTATTTCGGAATTTTCATATTCATTGTCTTTATTTTGATATCGAAATTTGAAAAAGGTGATAGAAGTTATTCATTAGATACTGTGACTGTTTGAATCCGCATACATCATGCTATGGTTATTTTTAATGGTGACCCAGTTACTTGGTAAAAAATATGTAAATAAGTAAAAGCCATTTCTTTACTAATGCAACAACAACGACGAAAAAACAAAAGTTTACACTACAAACATAAATAGAATCGTTATCTTTTTAATTAATTATTTAATTTCAATTTCGCGATTCAGATAAAAAAAAAAGAAAGCAAAAGATTGACTGTGGGATATTTGTTGTTGCAGGGTAACGGACCAAAGAAATGTTTGGTGCTTTTTCTCTCAATAAATAACCTATATATATATTTTTGTAGTGAGTCAAATGTTGTATCACGTCACATTAAAATTAAAAATAAATCTCTTTAAAACGCCGCCGCGCCATCGCCAAGTTATTTGGAGACAGTTTCGTTTACTTACCCGAAAAACTAACAACTTACTTTATTCCTCTGAAGATTGACATCGTTTGCGGCTAGTTGTTCGGAACTGCCTCTGAGCAACTGTTCCAAAAGTTCATTAGAAGGTTCTGGAGGGACAATGCCTTCTAATTTTGAAGGGCTAGAAGTCGTACGTTGATGATTCACCACAAGTTTTTGTTCATTATCGTTACTACTGGAACAGTCGGCACTAACTTTACGTTTAACAGCTTGATTTGATTGTTTATTACTGGAACCGGATGTGTTGAGGCTATTTTTCAATTGAGAATCGCCTATGGAATGACTGGACGAACCTCTCATCTGTGCCGAGTATTTTGACTTGGTATCACTCGAACAAACAGAACTGCTGGGCGATAAGGAGGCAGCAGTGAGAAAATCAACGGTCGCGTGAAGATCTTCGAGAAACTTTAAGTCATTCGAAATCTGTTTTCGACCTGCTTCGTTTTTACTCATTTCAGCTTCCAGCATTTGACCGTATGGTCCCCGAAGTGGTCTTTTGTAATATCTTCTTGCTATTCTTGGACTATAAGTGTCGTGGTTTCCTGTACTACTGCCACTACGGCCCTCACAGTCGGATAAATCCGAAGCAAGTGAAATTTGAAACTGATCACTTTTACGTTCGGCAGAATCGTTCTCTCCTTCAGACAATGAATCAGCTCTCTGGATGTTGTCTTTTTTTACTTTAAGTAAGATACCGTCTTTTTCTTCAGAATTATGTGACTTTATAAACGGCCACTCTATGTTAAGAGAATTATCTTCGGGACTATGGGGTTCTTCCTGATTAGGATCGTTCCATACGTCGCAATTTTCTGATTTTTCACTATTGCTTATTTCTAATTTTGGAATTTCATTCGAATAAATATTAAAATTTGCTCCTGTTTCAACGTTTGACTTCTCTTTTTTACAAGTCGAATCGTTTTCAGAAGCCGATGGCGAGACAGCAGGTGATTCGTTAGCTTCGTAGTTGTTTGGCCACTGCGAAATGTACATACCCTTTCTACGCTTGGACTTGTTCCATTTCTCCTCTTCGATGTTTTTTTGGTTTGATTTTCGAATGGCACTGTCACTATTTCGTACAAAACAATCGTTTAAGTCATTATCAAGTTCTTTACTAACTTCTTCCAATGATTCGATTATTTTATCTTCGTGGCATTGTTTGTAGATTCGTTTGCATAAATCGGTTACTTCGACATCTTCAGATGGTGGAAGAGCCTGACACTTTGTTTCGTCTTTCTTCGGATTCCTTAGTCTTGGTAATGTTAAGGCGGCCTGACTTAGTGAATCTTCCGATAGAAGATGCAATGCTTCTGACGGTTGTCTTCTTCTTACGTATTTTTTATCATCAGATGAGTAGTCGACTTGAGAAAAAGACGCACTTCTCAGAGGTGTTGTTCTGAACTTTTCTCTGTCATCGACGCTTGATTTTTCATTATCCTGATTAGTAGGTTGGTTTGGCTGTACAGGAGGAGAGGACGCGTGCCTCTGTGGCACGGGTCCTCTGCAGTTTTTTAGTCGGTCTGTGAGTTCTTTCAATCTTTCGCTGCTTCTTTTTTCTCGCTCTTTACTATTAGAAACAGATCTATTGCCACCGAAGCGAAACCTCGGAAGGCGATCCAGGGTGTCTAGGGGAGTAACTGGGGTTGTTAGTTCTCCGTCTTGACAATCGCACAGTCTCGTGTAGTAAACTTGAGGTCGCTGAAGAACACGTCGTCGCAACTGATTTTTGACCGATGGTCTTGAGGAAAAATTAGAAATAACAGTTGAAGATGAATTATTACAAGTAGTCGACGACGAGGCAAATGAAGATTGGAGTAAAACTCGGTGACGAGAAGTCGTCTGTTCGGCCAACTCTGACGTACTGTCATCCTCAGTGATTCTCAGTCGATTTACATAGCTAAATATATCAGTACTATTAATAGGAGACGCTCCACCGAAAAACGAGCTCCGGGAAAGGGGCCCGGGGGAAGAGGGCCAACAGCATTGGGAACGATACCGTGGTCCTGCACCCGGTGGCGGTGGAGACACTGCACCCAACCGAACGCCGTAACGTACAGATCCTACAGTCATGAATCTGGAAAACAAACTCTTATTTAGAGTAACATTTGTAATTTTAAACTTTCTCTTATCGCTGTGAGATTATTTTGAAAAAGTATCGAAACAACCAATTCTAAATGAAACAAAATTACTAAGTAGGTGTTGCGTAAAGCTTAATATTGTTTCTTTCGTTCTCAGAAAGTTGAGATCCCATTAGATAAGACAAGTGTGCTCGTGCTCGACGTACAATTTAGTTTTGATTATTTTAATAAATGATTTGATTGCTTGTATGCGACATGAATATGACGAAACTTAATATCAATTGGAGGAAATAATCGAATACTTTTCATACGTTTAAGTATGTTAGTGTTACGTTTTTATTTGCTCACTTACGAATATAATATCATGTTTATATAAACATTGAAAGAAATGTACTTACGTTTGCAAAAGTTTTCGAATAGTACACTACATGTATAACACACACACATATATATATATATATACGCTTTTACATTTTTAAGAATCGATAAATAAAAAAATTCCAAAATATACTTAATTCCCGCTCGTAGATGTTAATATCACCGTTGGNAGGATTATCAAGAGGACAGAAAAAAGTTTATATCTCGCGCGCTGGATCTTACCTTTTGGAATAATTATTCTGCGTGGAGTCATTATTGTTATCAAAATGTAAACAAGGCGAACAATCTCCACATTGCGAAAAACAATCTTCAGACCATCTGGTATTTCCGTAACTATTCATTATTTTCAAATATTCAAGTCACTCCGAGACCACCATCAAACATATTTCGCAAATTCACAATACAGTCGAAACACTTTCGGAACCGATTTCTGAAGTTGTCTTGTAAGTACCTTTCAATTATTGCTATTAGACACACGAAGAACGACTATCATAAATTTATCTATCTTCTTCGACCACTACAAGTGTTATAATAAAGTCCTTCGACGATTTTTTCAACGCTAAGCACTACTAGTGAAACGGGAATAACGAAACGAACGTGTCTATATGTAAATAATAGGAATTACATATATTTTCCTTTTTTTTTATCACATACATACAGTACATAAAGAGTGATCCTAGCGGACTGACTTTTTAACAACCCATAGTCTTTTGAATTGTCAAAGCACAACGGAAAAAAAGAATGCAAAACGCGTCTACTATACAATTCCAATATGTAGCACAACACGTTTTTCCTTAAGAATGTCAGCCATAATATTGTATATATAAATATGAGCGTACCGTCAGCGACTTACTAACTGGTCAGTACCGCTATCTGTGTATGTGACAATTCCAATTTCGAGTGGGGACACGCGTATTTAACAGATATTTAAAGCTTTCAATGTCCCAATGGACACTATTGTCGTTGTTTTAGATTCGTATTTAAAACCGATCGGATTATTTACTTTTATTCGTACAACTAATAAATTTTTCCTTTAATGCCGACACCTGTTGAAACTCAACTGTTTCATCTCAGGAGAAGAGGTAGGTACCTGACCTCTACTACCTACCTACCTACCTGTACCAGGTATACATCATATATGGTACCAGCAACCAGTTGGACGTACCTGTCCATTGTGTACATATTTCCCGATCTAATAAATACTTCCATTGTTTTTTAACTTTGTCCAAACCTTTCTTTCAAAGGTCATTGGTCATTTCTGTTTTTCTGTAAAAAGCAATACCTATGCGCCGTTTTAGGGTAGTATTTTTTTATGATCTACGAACCATAAATTAAATTATTGATTTAAAACAGTCTTCCTCATTAAGCATACAATTCTGTTTGGACTATAAAGCTGTAACCCATGGGAAAAGGCTAATTTATTATATAAATTAATATAGTTTGCTTTCTATTATCAATAATGAAATTCTTCTGGAAATATGGTTGTCTTTATATGACGCACCGTTTTGCTATTTAGAAAGGATCATTCTATTGTAATATTAATTTAAAATAAAAAAGTAATTGGTACATTACATTTGTATTGTCTTAATAAAAATTAATTGTTTATTGAAATATACAGTTTAATTAACTTCAAGCCAGCTTAACAACACAAGAAATCCATGATCCATTATATCATACAATAACTTCAAATTTATAATAGGATTCATGAATAAAAATGAGGTATATAATTTTAATTTAACAACTGAAATTGAAATTTAAAACA